GGGAGGAAAAAAAACTGTGGAGAAGGCTTGGAACAGCTCATGATCCAAAGCACACAGTGGCAGTGTGATGGCATGGGCATGCATGGCTTCCAGTGACACTGGGTCATTGGTGTTTATTGATGATGAGGCAGAAGACAGAAGCAGCCAGAGGAATTCTGCAGTGTTTAGAGATATACTGTCAGTCCAGATTCAACCAAATGCATCAAAGTTGATTGGACGGTGCTTCACAGTACAGATGGATAATGATCCAAAACACACTGCAAAAGCAACCGAGGAGCTTTTGAAGGAAAAGAGGTGGAATATTTTGCAATGGCCAAGTCAATCACCTGATCTCAACCCCATTGAGCATGCATTTCACTTGCTGAAGGCAAAACTAAAGGCAGAAAGACCCACAAACAAAGAACAACTGAAGATAGCTGCAGTTAGAGCCTGGCAAAGCATCAGAAAGGAGGAAACCCAGTCTTTGGTAATGTCCATGGGTTCTAGACTTCAGGCAGTCATTGCCAGTAAAGGATTCTCAACAAAATATTAAAAATTTAAATTTTATTTATGATTAAATTAATTTGTCCAAATACATTTGAGCCCCTGAAAATGGAGAACTGTGTATAAAAAATGGTTGCAGTTCCTAAAATTTGTACTTGATATTTATGTTCAACCCCTTGAATTTAAGCTTGATTTAAGTTTGCACTTCAGATGCACTTGGATTGTTTCATTTGAATTTATTCTGGTGCCATACAGAGCCAAAAGTATGAAAATTGTGCCTGTGTCCAAATATATATGGACCCAGCTGTAGGTGGGTATATTTCAACATGTATGCTGCCATGATGGCACCAGGAAATAAAGGTGTGTACATAGAGCTGGTGAGAGTGGCAAATTAAAGGTTCATTGTCATTAAACCCACATAATTAAAAACTGTCAATAAATGCTGTATTACATAGTGTACATACTTACTTTGCCACTAGAGCATTCATTTTCTGAATTCTGCAAAAAACCTGGATTTTCCTGCTGTTCACTGTTCCTCCCTCCTTGTCTGTGTCCTCGCTGCAGCCTGATAATGTGTAGACCAACTGTTTCCACAATCGACTGAGCATGCTCCAGTTTTAGTTTCCTTGGAAGCTGTTCATTTCCTTCTTTTTCTTATCTGTGCAGCCCATGTGACTATAAAGTCACACATATGAGATTATACACTCTGGATAAATGAGAGCCCACTCCCTCCCTCCTCCATGGCCACTAAACTGCTAAACACAATAAAGGCTGGATAATACATGTTGATTGATAAAGGCTTCCTCTAATTCTAACACTGGCCATAATTATAAAAATGTCTTGCTCTATTTCCTTTTAGGCACCCCATCGGGTTAACTAGAATAACAGGAGCTGCATATAAATTATATTACAATAAAGAGGTTCACATATCAATATACTGAAAGGTGACCACTACATAAAAAGACAGGACAGAGATACTCTGTCTGTCACAAGGATTTAGATATACACTCAGCAGCTGCAGTTAAACTATTAGATCACAGGAATAATTGCACAGAAGTCTCCTCTGGTCCAGTATTTAGCAGCATTGACAGAACATGTGGCTGAGACTTTCTCTCTCTCTCTACTTCATCCTTCTGGGGTTTCAAAGCCAACAACCCAGGAACAAGAAGGGCATGCATAATAATTTTTCAGGTATGTACAGATTCCGGCAGTAAAGGGCAACAGATCCCTACATAAATATAAAGAATGTAAAAAAAACAAAGTCTAAATATGTTAGTAAATACAAATACTTATACAAAATTAAACAAAAATACATTTACCTTTATCCAAGGGATAACATGCATACAGTTTGGTACCTTTGTGATTAGAGTAATGTATCAACAAGTCTAAACTGCACATCCATCAAATGCCTTGAATGATGAGTTATGTGCAATGTCAATAAATGCCAGCACACCAAAGTAGATCAATGGGGATTGGTCCTCACTTGCACAAAATACTGATGTTGATATTTCAGGGTAACAGAGGGCCCATTTATGCAGTCATCTAGATAATGGGGTCCTGTGTGGCCCCAACCTATCAATGCCAGTATGTCATGCATGTAAAGACCAACCATAATGCCACACTCTGGGTGTGCTGGCATTAATCTACTTTGTGACTATGCTATGCTGATATCAGCCCACATACTTTTTAGCATTGGCTGAATGCCTGAGGATAGACTCCGTAAATTCAGTAATTCTTCTCCAAACAGCAATCCAGTATTGAAGAATACCAGGATCTTTCATATCATGTGCTTGGGGAAGTGGAGCAGGAACTGAGGATTGTAGGAGCAACCTACCTGCCATGTTTTTATGGTGCAAGGTCCACTTTAAGTTTGTTGAAGGCATGGTGGTCTTTTCACATGCTAATCTACTAAGAGGTTGTGTGGGGATGTGACTAGCTGTCCTTATATTGTCCCAGACACATAATGTATACAAATGTATACATTTTCCCAAAATAAATATATATTTAAATATGAATATACACTTTATACATCCATATTTTGATATTTGTCCATAATAGTAACCTTACACTAAGTGGCAGCTTTTGGCAATTATCTTTAGAATGTTGAAGATATTTATGGAAGAAGATGGGCATCTTTTCATGCAGGTGAAGCAAGAGTAACACATCATGCCACCATGGTAGCACGTATGTAGGGACTTTTTTTTTTATACCACACTGCCTTATTCTGTACACTGTGCTGTACATTCCCTCTTCTGCAACTAATTCTATACGCCATGCTGTACATTCCCTATTACACCCTGTCTCATTCATTACTATGAAAGTTGTTTAAAGACTCTATTCATCCAAACATGATATTTAGCTCAAGGCATGACCACTTTTTTGCCATAGCATGCTGCATTTTCTTTTTCTCAGGGAAGGGGGCACCAGTTATTTTGCACATAAGCTCACCGTATTCAGAAAACACCCCTGCTGGACCAAGTTTATATCTGTATAATATAATGGATTACACTTTGTGGACAATAATGCTTTGTAAAGTTACTTAAAAGTGACCACCCATACACAGTAACTTACCTCCATAGCTCAGAAAAATGGAAAGCAAGAAAGGAGAGAGAGGAGCGCACACTCCATAGTGTAGCATGCATAAGTAAGTTTAATGGACAAAATAAAATCAATAGTTGCACTCACAAACAACTGTGGGGTAGAGAGGCTTGTCAGGTGGCTTGGATGATAAGCCCAAAGTCAGTGCATAAGTTGTCCCAGATCCCCACCTTGGTCACTGGCTGGGGAAAGCATTAGCTGAAGTTGAAATGACACTGCCGGCAGAGATGGATGGAGCTGCTTCAGGATCTGGTGTCCAAGAGCTGAAAGCCTCTTGTTGTCACCACTGTGTACCCCTAAATACAGGGATGCGTTGCGAAGCCAGGAGAGGGAGCCTTTCGCTGCTAGATGTAAAACAAACAATGGAGGCTGCATCTTGCAGGAAGAGGGTGAGATCAATTAGATCAGGACAAAGGGACAAAAAGAAGTATAATTTGTCTGAAAGTAAAATTATTTAATACGTCTTTTAAGTACTTTGGTTTCAGATTTAAAGATGCTGCCGTCCATTCATGCCATGTTGCACTTTATAGAGTTAACAGCAGAAGGGACCAGGAAAATGACATCTTCAGAGTTGTCATTCTCACATTTTCTTTCCTAATACAGTATCTGTTTCTGCATCTTCATATCCTATCTATGAATATAAGGAATAGGAGTAGCGATAATATTCAGATTCAGCCTAATCCTCAACAGTTTTTTTTTTATATAAAAAATGTAAAGACAACTCTGAATGAATGCAGAGTCAAGAATGTGTGAAGAAAATGGACTTGTTAACCATTTGCCAACCCCTCACCCACATTTTACTGCAGTCAGAGGGCTCATACAGGTACAGTCATGTACCCATACGTCGGCTTTTTATTCTGGGTCCGCAGGCCATTTCAGCAGGGACTGTTCGAATTTCGATCCATCTATGCCCATTCCTGCTTAAGAGGAATCAATTTAATTATCAACTCCTCTAAAATAGGAAGACTGGCACATTTTCACTTGATTGGCTGCAGTGCTGATCAGTGTATTCAGCATTCAGAATAAGTCCAGCTACTAGCTATCTTGCCTCATGTTAGGAAAATTAGCCTATTTTATTTGCAAGATCATTCATATTAGCTGTAAGATTGTGTTTTTATGGTAATGTTTTCAGGCATGTTGTGCTCCTGAGAACGTGAGATAACATTTTTCCCTTACCTTCTAGACATAGTTGCCTATTTTCACTTTTTATATACAGAGATGTACCTAGGTCTAAGGCATATCTGCCCTCTGGTGTCTGTCTTACTAAGTGAAGTAACAGAATGTTGACATCTGAATTTCCAGTCTTATACCCGCAGTATTTTGGCAAGAGTGAAAAGTTAAAAATAGCTCTTGTATATCAAGAATGTCAGTTCAAATCAGCAATCCCATGCCACAGTGAGGTTGAAGATAGGTTGGCATTGGCCACTGCCAACAAATAAAAAAAGCAGACAAGGGATAGTTATCAGTCCAGTTTATTGGAAAAACTGGTTGCTTCAGTGATGAAGCTCATAGATGCAGCTGTTCAGGCAAGTTAGAAGCCCTCTACCTTAGCCATACCCCAAATCATCTCAAAGATGTGGGGAGAGTTCTGAGCATGATACTATTACATGTGCAGTTCATTCTGCAGAATTAAGTAGCTGGTAAGCGCTCACCAGTCACTACTACATCAATGCTAAAGGAATGCATTTTAAAATATTTAAAATTGAAGTATTGCTGTCTATATCTTTCAAAGCTTATATCAGGCTTGAAATCACTGACATACTGTAATTGCTGAAAATTACTTATGACTACTCGCAACTGTGCCAAGTTTTTAATTTTCACATTTAAAGTAATGGATATATCTGGACTGTCTATAGTTTTTGGTGTTATTGGTTTCTGAAATTGTATTGTGCTTTCTCAATCTGTCTTTCACATGTCAGTACATGGGCTGCATTGAGGTTCTTCGTTCCATGAGATCTCTGGACTTTAATACAAGAACCCAAGTGACAAGGTGAGTGACACACTGTGTATTCAAATGTAATACCTATAGTGCTACCCCCTTAGGGGCTGCTGGATTTTGAGACCTCCTTTGACTGCACAGTCAGGCAACAAGCATTTTCAGCAGGCACATGGTCGTCATAAAACCAGTCCCCTATAGGCTTTCGCGGGGGGGGGGGGGGGGTTAAGCAGAGGTTACTCACTCAGTCCCTTGTAAGCCGTGCAGCATATGTGGCAACTTCTGCACAAACCTCCTGCTGAACAGGTCCCACATGCTCAGAGGGTGTCTCAACCAAGCGCAGATGAGGCTGAAGGCAGTTCTTCTCTCTTTCTCAGCACACTTCCTTTATGGCAGAGCCCCCCCTCCCCCAGCACAGGGATTCCCTCCAGGCCTCTGGATCCTGGATTCCCCTACATGGCCAGGCTCCAGCATATTTAAGGGCCGTCTCTCCACCTTCTGGGCTGTCCTCGCCCAGGGTTTGGTAGAGATCCCATAAATATTCAGGCCTTTGTCTCTATCCCTCTGCCCTCTAAGTTCCAGAAGCTTCAGAAAAATTCCAGAAGACAGGGAGAGGTGACATAGGCTCAGCTCTCAGAGCCTGCTAACCTACTATCAACAAAACCAATTAACTCTGGCTATAGTGGAGCCTAACTAAATTTACCTACACTATCTACACTATGTACACAGGGGGTGCTACATAAATGTTTGTTCAGTTTTTTCGTATAGATTGCTATATACATATATTCCTCAATATAAACTAAATTAAGAATTGGAGGCGTTCAGGTAAAGAGGATGCAGCAATCCAAAACTTATAATTAAATTACTCTTAGAAGTCTAGTGTATAAATAAAATAATAAACCCATCCTGAAAAGTCTAAGTAGTTGCCACAAGTAGGCACATGTTGAACTGGCAACCGTACTCTACTGATAATTGTCTTTTTTTGCAACAGAGAGGCTATCAACAGATTATATGAAGCTGTACCAGGAGTTAGGGGAACCTGGAAAAAAAAGGTGAGGAAGAGGACTAAAGCTCCTCATAAGTGTTATATCAAAACAATGTAATATACCTCCCTAAACTATTTAAAATATCCAGCCAGGCAGACCCGTACATTACAAATTTGTTGGTAAATCTAAAAGAGATTGTGCAGCCAGATTGTATAAAGTGTGTTAGGGACTGGAGTCTGTATCTGTTAGCAACACGTCTTACCAGGAAGGTGGTTGTAACGGAGGCTGCAAGGAGGCTCAGGGCCCAGAGGAGTTAGAGGGTGATATTGATTCCATGAGTCACTAAGGAGACACTGAAGGCTAGGGCTACAGATTGGTAGAAGACAGTGGAGACAGGTAGGCCAGCAGGGCTGATGTGACTCTGGAAGGCACAGGTTGACACTGGCTACAGGAGGCAGGATACTCCAAGGACTTTGAAAGAACAGGACTCTAGGTGCCTGCACACTGAGCACTACTCAACCCTATGAAGGGCCAAAACACAGCAACCATGAAGCCACTTGCAAGTGGTGATAGGCTTTGCTTAATGATAGCTCCCAGGTTGCAGCCTTCTGGCTCACCTGAACAGACAACTACAGAATTAGATACATGGGTACACAGAAGAATCACTAGGAGCACTGGGGTGACAGGTTCACAGAAACACAATTGAGTCTATGGGAACACTGGAGTGCTGGGATCACAGGAACACAGGAAAGACAAGGAGAGCGCTGGGGTCGTGGGAGCATGGGAAAACAGGAGTACACAAGTCTCTAGAAGCACTTTGTGCTGAAAGAAACACTGGGAGCTCACTAGGAGTACAAGGGATAATCTCTGGAGAGATGGGGCTAGCAGCTAAAATACTGACACATTGCTTGAATGCAGAGCAACATATGTGCTAGCCCTATAAGACAACGCTGTGGTTCCAGCAGCTTCGTACAGGAGGAAAGAGTCACTGCTGGATCAAGGCACAAGTGAGTGCATGGTATGCTTTTTCAGGCTTTGCTTATATACACAAATTGTTATTAGAATACCATTGAGTGAACTATGATTACTGCATTCATCTTACTACATACAATACATTCTAGTCAAAGTACTACAACTTGCTATTCATGATACTTTGTTGTTTTCTCCTAGGCACCCAATAAATCCTTAGCATCTGTCTTGGGTCGAAGTAACCTTCGGTTTGCAGGAATTAGTATCGCTGTAAATATATCCATTGAAGGACTCAATCTTAGTATCCCAACCACACGACATGTAAGTATAAGTCAAAATGTGACACTATCCATTCTCCCCAAGCAAACTGTAATTTATTCATTACATCCAAAGTCAAATTCATTTCTGCATTACAATGTCACCATGCACAGATTCGTCATTTATGTACAGTGGGGCAAAAAAGTATTTAGTCAGCCACCAATTGTGCAAGTTCTCCCACTTAAAAAGATGAGAGAGGCCTGTAATTGACATCATAGGTAGACCTCAACTATGAGAGACAAAATGAGAAAAAAAATCCAGACAATCACATTGGCTGGTTTGGAAAGAATTTATTTGCAAAATATGGTGGAAAATAAGTATTGGTCAATATCAAAAGTTCATCTCAATATTTTGTTATATATCCTTTGTTGGCAATGACAGAGGTCAGACGTTTCCTGTAAGTCTTCACAAGGTTGGCACACACTGTTGCTGGTATGTTGGCCCATTCCACATACATGGATCAGTCGTCTTGGTCCCTTTGCGGAGAAACAGCCCCAAAGCATGATGTTGCCACCCCCTTGCTTCACAGTAGGTATGGTGTTCTTTGGATGCAACTCAGCATTCTCTCTCCTCCAAACACGACGAGTTGTGTTTCTACCAAACAGTTCTACTTTGGTTTCATCTGACCATATGACATTCTCCCAGTCCTCTTCTGGATCATACAAATGCTCTCTAGCAAACTTCAGACGGGCCCGGACATGTACTGGCTTAAGCAGGGGGACACGTCTGGCACTGCAGGATCTGAGTCCCTGGCGTCGTAGTGTGTTACTGATGGTAGCCTTTGTTACGTTGGTCCCAGCTCTCTGCAGGTCATTCACTAGGTTCCCCTGTGTGGTCCTGGGATTTTTGCTCACCGTTCTTGTGATCATTTTGATCCCACGGGGTGAGATCTTGCGTGGAGCCCCAGATCGAGGGAGATTATCAGTGGTCTTGTATGTCTTCCATTTTCTAATTATTGCTCCCACAGTTGATTTGTTCACACCAAGCTGCTTGCCTATTGCAGATTGTCTTCCCAGACTGGTGCACGTCTACAACTTTGTTTCTGGTGTCCTTCGACAGCTCTTTGGTCTTCACCATAGTGGAGTTTGGAGTGTGACTGTTTGAGGTTGTGGACAGGTGTCTTTTATACTGATAACAAGTTCAAACAGGTGCCATTGATACATTAATGAGTGCAGGACAGAGGAGCCTCTTAAAGAAGAAGGTACAGGTCTGTGAGAGCCAGAAATCTTGTTTGTTTGTAGGTGACCAAATACTTATTTTCCGCCATAATTTGCAAATAAATTCTTTCCAAATCAGCCAATGTGATTGTCTGGATTTTTTTCTTTTCATTTTGTCTCTCATAGTTGAGGTCTACCTATGATGCCAATTACAGGCCTCTCTCATCTTTTTAAGTGGGAGAATTTGCACAATTGGTGGCTGACTAAATACTTTTTTGCCCCACTGTATGTTACTAGTCTTGCTTTAGGCTATTTACCGTATATACTCGAGTATAAGCCGACCCGAATATAAGCAGAGGTACCTAATTTTACCACAAAAAATTCGGAAAAACTATTGACTCGAGTATAAGCCGAGGGTGGGAACACCAGTGGGAAGAATCGTGCCTCATCATTGGTGTCAGTGGGAGGAATAGTGCCCCATCATTGGTGTCAGTGGGAGGAATAGTGCCCCATCATTGGTGTCAGTGAGAGGAACAGTGCCCCATCATTGGTATCAGTGGAAGGAATAGTGCCCCATCATTGGTATCAGTGGGAGGAATAGTGCCCCATCATTGGTGTCAGTGGGAGGAATAGCGCCCCATCATTGGTGTCAGTGGGAGGAATAGCGCCCCATCATTGGTGTCAGTGGGAGGAATAGTGCCCCATCATTGGTATCAGTGGCAGGAATAGTGCCCCATCATTAGTATCAGTGGGGGGAATAGCACCCCCCATTATTGGTGTCAGTGGAATAGTGCCCCATCTTTGGTGTCAGTGGGAGGAATAGTGTCCCATCATTGGTGTCAGTGGGAGGAATAGTGTCCCAACATTGGTGTCAGTGGGAGGAATAGTATCCCATCATTGGTGTCAGTGGGGGGGTGGAGGAATAGTGCCCCATCGTTGGTGTCAGTGGGGGGGAGGAAAAGTGCCCCATCGTAGGTGTCAGTGGGGGGGAGGAATAGTATCCCATGATTGGTGTCAGTGGGGGGTGGAATAGTGCTCCATGATTGGTGTCAGTGGGGGGTGGAATAGTGCCCCATCATTGGTGTCAGTGGGGGGGAGGAAAAGTGCCCCATCGTTGGTGCCAGTGGGAGGAATAATGCCCCATCATTGGTATCAGTGACACCAATGATGGGGCACTATTCCTCCCACTGACACTTGCTGACCCCTGTTCCAGTATGGTGCTGCTGCAGCCAGCATATGTGGTTGCAGCAGCACCTAAGCACGGCACACTTACCTGCATCTCCTTCACTCGATTTTCGCGGGGCCGCTCAGCTCCGCCTCCTCGCCGGTGATTGGCCGCCTGTGTGCCTTTCCTGAGCTACAGTTCTGGCGGCCAATCACCGGTGAGAAGGCGGAGCCAAGCAGCCGCGCGAACATCCAGTGGACGAACCGAATGAAGGAGCAGCCGCGCTTCCTGGACCGGATCGTCGTGGGACCAGAGCCAGGTAAGAGACAGCAGCCCCCTGCCCACCCCTGTACTTACCGTAGTTTCCCTTCTGTTGGAAGGGGGGGGGAGCCATCTGCAGACGTTGACTCGAGTATAAGCCGAGGGGGCCGTTTTTCAGCACAAAAAATGTGCTGAAAAACTCGGCTTATACTCGAGTATATACGGTAATCAGTTTTGGTGACTTTGGCAAATCATGGCTCATGGGCTAAGTCCACGGCCCACACTACATAAGGCTGCTTACACAGCATCCTTATGTAGTGTGTTGGTGGAGTTCAGTGAAGTTAGTTAGGGGTGTGTTAGGAGACAGTATAGTGTAGTCAGTGTAGTGCGGTGCTGTGAAGAGCAATGTAGTGGTCAGTGTTTTTTATAGCACTTCTGCGTCACCGTTGTTCCCATTTTGTTTTCTTTGTTAAATGTAGTATTTTTTTATTTATCTTTGCAGCATCAGGTTCTGTTGCTGCATCATTAGTATTCCCTCCTCTGTGTTGCAGGTGTTCCTCCTTTTGAGTTAGCAGTGGTTCCCTTTTTTCTTTTTTTTTGGCTTTCTGATTTTTTTTTTTATTTATTAACCACTTCAAGTCCGGACACTTTTACACCCTTCCTGTCCAGACCAATTTTCAGCTTTCAGCGCTATCACACTTTGAATGACAATTGTGCAGTCATGCAACACTGTACCCATATCTGAGACAGATAAAGCTTTATTTTGGTGGTATTTATTCACCACTGGGATTTTTTTTTTTTGCTATATAAATGAAAAAGTCCAAAAATTTTGAAAAAAGGTGTTTTTCTTATAAAATTTTGCAAATAAATAATCTTTCATCATAAATCTTGGCCAAAATGTATTCAGTTATCTTTTTAGTAAAAAATAACCCAAATTAGTTTATAAATTTATATATACTATATTTATAAATATAGTATATATAATTTTTTTTTTTACATTTTTTTTTTTTTTTTATATATATTATTATTTATGTTTGTTTTAAAATACTGTCACCCTAGCAGTACAGTGTCACCATGGTGACACTGTACTACTTGTGGGGGGTTATGAAGATTTTTTTTTTTTTTTACACTGATTGCTTTTACACCCATAAAGGCTGTAAAAGCAATCATTTCTCCTTCTCTTTGGCTGCATTCTTGCTGCCATTGAGAAATACTGTGTGAGCTATGATTGGTCACAGCTTGTCACATGGTACAAGGCTGTTGTGAATAGCCTTGTACCATGTGACCTCTGTGATCATTCACAGATTTCACTCATGATCGGGACCTCGCACAGAGGTCCCGTACAACGATCTGTGTTCCACTGTGTCAGGAAGACACAGCGGGCACTGGATTGCGGTGCTGCGAGCTCCCAGGGAGCGCGCACAAGCAGGGGGTGGGCAGGCCATTTATAAATAGCCACCTGCCCCTGCACTGCCACAATCCGGCTGTTTATATACAAGGGCCGGATGGGAAGTGGTTAATTTTTTTTTTTCCAGCAGCAGCTAAAAAATTTTTTCCCATAATTGCTGTTCCTATTTCTAAGTTGTAGGTGTTCTTCCTTCTGCGCCACCAGTTTTTTTTGGCTTTCTTACATTTTTTACATTCATTTTATTTAAATTTTTTTGCAGCAGCAGCAGTAAAAAAAATTCTCCATCACTCCATAAAACAGTTTATAGTGCACCAAGCACAAAAGTATTGCTCCCATCCCACACTCTAAAATAAAAAGTTGAAAAAATTCCCATCATGTCCAAAAGGCCAACAAGGAGAGGCAGGCACTCACAAGCAGCTAAAAGAGGGCAAGCAGCCTCTGTGTCCACAGTGAAAAGTGGTGGTCATGGACATGGTGTATCCTCTGCAGGCTGGGCATGCTTGTCTTTTTTTTCTGGTGCTAGCCGTGTTATTGAGCCACAACATGCAGAAGAGGTGTCACCCAGGCTCATACTAGATCGCCTTCCAGCTGCAAAATTTTCCTATTCCACAGGCTCCTTGTCCACCACAGCTACTCCTTCCATAGCCCCACCATCATGCACGGAGGAGTCACCTGAATTATTCGATCTTAGTGTCAGTTCCAAGCTGTTGGAGGATGCGCAGCAATTTGAATGCTCCGATGTTGGTTCCTGGGTTGTTCTGTCTCTCTAATCTAAGCATTGATAGTGTGATCTCTGTAACTTACAGTTGTCATGAGATAGCGATAACTTCATACCACAGTCAGTGACTCAATCGATAAGACATCTTGCAGATCTTCTGAAGTTTATTCCATAAACTGAGAGAATCTTACAAATTGAACATTCGATAGGTCAAAAGTTCATAATGTTTTCTGCTCCATGCCATGAGGCTTGCTGCAATGCCTTACTGGGAAAATGGGTGGGATATCTATACAGCATTAACTAAACCAAAGGAAAGGGAGGAGCAGAAACAAAATATAGAAAACACTTAAAGGCATATGACAGTCAATATGACAGTCATGTGAAACATGACATGGGTTGAAGAAAGGAGTGACGTGAGCCTAGAGAGAGGGGGTGCCAACGATGGAAAAGAAATTGGCAGTCATGTTCCCCCAGCCACAGCATACTGCCAAGTTGGCTCTAGAGACAAGGAGGGAGGGGATGATGAGGTCACTGACTGTACTTTGGAGCCTGAGAGAACAGAGGAGGAAAGTGAGGAGGAAGCACAACTCCAACAAGGCAGGATGTCTAGGGCCAGGGGCAGGCATAGGGGGAACACACTACTGCATCACATGACAGAGCTCCACAGGTGAAGGACGCTGCTGACTCCCCGCTGATTTCCAAAAGTTAATTGGTGTGGGCTTTTTTAACACATGTGCAGCAGTGTTGCTGTTTGCAGTCACTTGACACAAGTTCCATGCTTGGCTCATTCCCTGAATTTGGTGATGCAGCATTTCTTTAACAGGTACCCAGACTTTCAAGATCTTCTGAGGCAGGCCAGAAAAGTCTGTAGCCATTTCTGTCTGTCAAACACTGTCAGTGTTTGGCTGGCTGACATTTAACGGGAATTCCACCTGCCTCATTTGTGATATGCCCACCAGGTGGAACTCAACATTGGCAATGCTGCAGCGGCTGCACATGCAACAGAGGGCCATCAATTAGTACCTGTGTGAGTATGGCACAAGGACAGGCTCAGAGGAGCTTGGCTTCTTTTCACCACAGCAGTGGCTGCTGATAAAGGATGCATGCACTGTCCTGTCACCATTTGAGGAGGCCACAAGGATGGTGAGCCGCGACAATGCATACATCAGTGACACTATCCCTCTAATCTTCCTCCTGGAGCACACGCTGCATGGAATCATGGACAGGGCACTTGAGGCAGAACAGCGGGAGGAAGAGCATGACTTCCTTTCCTATCAAGGCCCCCCTTTATGCAGATACCATTCCTTTGTGGCTGCAGAACAGATGGGAGGAAGAAGAGGAGGATTGTGGCAGCATGGAAGTAAAGGATAACATACGGCAGTCTTCAAGGGATGGTTTTCATTCCCCAGAAACCCAGCCATGAGTAGTACAAGGCTGGGAGGAGGTAGTTCCTGACGGTGTCATCCTCAGTGACCTAGAAGACTCAGAATCTCCTGCTTCCTCAAACTTACACTGCATGGGTTCCCTGTTTCTCCAAAGTCTGCGAAAAGACCAGAGGATTTTTGGTATTAAGGATCATTACTAGTTGGCAACCCTTCTTGATCCACATTACAAGGGTAAAGTTGCAGAGCTCATCCTGCCTTCGCAGAGGGAGCCGAGGATGAAACATCTTGAGGACACCTTGAAGAAAAATTTCTGTAACACCTTTCCAGACACTGGGAGGTTACCATTTCCTGGTCAAAGTGTTTCTAAGGCTTCATTCAGTCAAAGGCAGAGCAGTAGAGAAGGCAGCCAGCTGACCGATCCCTTTTAAACTATTTTTTAGTCCTAAGTGCCCAGGGCAGGTTTAAGCACCCATCGGCAGCGTCTGCATCATATGGTGCAGGATTGGGGCAAGAGCAGACTTGGAGACCTTTCCAACTGAGGATCTACTGGGTTACTGGATCTTGAGGATGAATCACTGGCCAGAACTTGCTCAATATGCAATAGAGCTACTGGCCTGTCCTGTATCCAACGTGCTTTCTAACATTCAGTGCTGCTGGAGGTTTTGTGATGGATAAAAGACTGCGTCTGTTCATAGACTCCGTTGACCGGCTGACATTAATCAAAATGAATCAGTTCTTGATCAACAGCAGCTATCAAGCCCCTGATGCTGATGTAACTGATTGAATTTGCTAGGGATCTGGGATCCCTTGAAGACTGCCTATGCTGCCTATCCTATTTCTGAATCCCGATTATGCTAGCTTCCAACAATGTTTTTGGTTTAGGGTACCACCAACACCCAAGGCTCAGTTTTTCTGCACCAGTTTGACATGTGCATCTAATTAAATTTTTTTACAATTTTCTACAAATTGTTAACAATTTTTAACACATTCCTGTGCACAAAAAGAGTAACTGTGAGGGGTTACAGTGTTTAGACACCACCAACACACAAGTCCCAAATTTTCTGCACCTTTGTGACAGGTGCATATAATTTCAGTATTTTAAAGCAGTGCCAATTCCTACACTCGTCAAGAATAACTCTGAAGGGTTACGGTGTGAAGGCAACACCAACTGTTCACCCATCAAACACCCCACAATACACTGCACTCTCACAGTGCACAGTCCCCATCCCACACTATACAAGACAATCTGACATTTGTGGGTCAGGTATAAACAATTGGGCAGAGCTAGCAGTGACGTCACTATACATTGTACAGATGAGCAACTTTGCAGGTAGTTTAAGGGGACCCCCAGGCGTGATATTTAAAGGAATTTTTCTTTTTTTTTACTTTAAGCAATGAAAAATGACTACTTCTTAAAAAACTGTACTTTTTGAATTTTTTTTTCCCTGATTCATGTCCCTCAGAGCAGTACCCAAATTCTCATACCCCTTTTATGGCCAATAACTAGTATATAAGCCTTCAAAATGGGCACTTTTGAATTTCAAGGCCCATAGACTTGCAATGAGTTTGAAGTTTGCGGTCGAACTTTCACTGGGTTCGAATGTTCAACTGCGAACTAAATACAGGGGTGTTCGGCCCATCACTAATTGTAAATCTATTCTTTTGTATGTATATGTAAAATGACTGCAATACATGTACGTTATGTTTTATGTGCAGATAATCGCTAATCATCACATGCAAGCCATCTCCTTTGCATCAGGAGGGGATGTGGTAAGACTTACATATATTTTGGTCATTCCTAGGTTAGAATATGAATAAGGTCAGTGATACTTTTCTGTTCTCTAATAGGACACCACAGACTATGTAGCATATGTGGCCAAGGACCCAATAAACCAGAGAGGTAATACGTTATGTTTTTTTGTACTCTGTCCTAGGATAAGGCACTTAAGTGTTATGTATAAATGTTAACTTTGACAAAAGCCAGCATTCTGCTATATACTATATATTTTGAAATATTATTACTGGCAAGGACTTTTCACTATACTCTTAACACTTTTTCTTCAATACAGTAAATTGTTACTCTTCCTTATATAATTCATCCTCCACCTGTGTTGGCAATTTCTTAGAAATGGGGATGAATTGAACTTGTGCTTCTAAAATCTTCTACAGTAGGGACAAGCCTACGGAACATAACCTTGAATCTAGACTAGTATAAACGTTTACCTTTGTTTTGCAATCATTTTTTACAAACATTTTATTTGTCTGAATGTTATTCAAAAGAACCCTATTTTTGTGTAAAATGCAAGCCCAATTAATACTATTAAATATACCTGTTTATCTTTGATGCTTCTGTGTAAGTGACAGTTCTGATATATGGAGCTAATGTAGCTCCAGCTTTAGTGAAATAAATCAATAGATAACCACAAGAAAGAGATTGCTTCTCTCGCTAAATCCAGACCTTGTTTGTTATTTATTTATTTCAGGTACTTATATAGTGCTGTCAGTTTATGCAGCACTTTACATATATATTGTACATTAAAATCAGTCCCTAACCCTCAAGGGGTGTACAATCTAAGGTCCCTAACATACATTCATACATACACATACTAGGGCCAATATAGACAGGAGCCAATTAACCTACCAGCATGTCTTTGGAGTGTGGAAAGAAACTGAAGTACCCAGAGGAAACCCACGCAGGCACAGGGAGAACATGCAAACTCCAGGCAGGTTGTGCCGTGGTGCGTTGGGATTTGAACCAGTGATCCTAGTACTGCCAAGCAGAAGTGCTAACCATTTAGCCATTGTGCTGCCCTGTTTAGCAGCCAGCCTGTTGAAAAAACATAGGTGAAGAATTTAGGAATATCATACCTTTATTATCATTATTATTATACAGTATTTATAAAGCGCCAATAGTTTGCTCAGCGCTGTACATTACAAAGGGGGACAGAACATGTGACAGAACAATACCAATACAATGCAAAACATGAGGGGATCGAGGGCCCTGCTCTTTCGAGCTTACAATCTAAGAGGGAGGGGATGGTGGCACAGGAGGAGATAGCTGTGGGGGATGGAGTGGTAGGAAGAGTGGAGGAGGTCGGCAAGTTAGCAGGGGGTGGGGTAGGCTTCCCTGAAGAGATGGGTTTTCAGGGTGCGCCTAAAGGAGAGGAGAGTAGGTGATAATCTGATGGGTTGGGTAGGGAGTTCCAGAGGATGGGTGACACCCTGGAGAAGTCCTGGAGGCGGGCATGGGAGGAGGAGACCAAGGAACTAGAGAGAAGGAGGTCTTGTGAGGAGCGGAGTGTGCGTGCTGGGCGGTACTTGGATATTAGGTCAGTGATGTAGTTCGGGGCAGTATTGTGGACGGCTTTGTATGTCAGTGTTAGGATTTTGAATTTGATCCGTTGCGCAATTGGAAGCCAGTGGAGGGATTGACAGAGGGGGGTGGCGGAGATGGAGCGGTTGGAAAGGTGAATGAGTCTGGCAGCCGTATTCAGGATTGACTGAAGCAGTGATAGCCAGCGGCTAGGCAGGCCAGTGAGGAGTGAGTTGCAGTAGTCGAGTCGTGATATGATGAGGGAGTGGATGAGCTGTTTAGTGGTTTCTGGGGTTAGGAACGTGCGTATTTTGGCGATGTTGCGGAGGTGGAGTCTGCACGAGTTTGTTAAAGATTGGACTTGGGGCTGGAAGGATAGGTTGGAGTCCAGAATGATACCAAGTACTCTTGGCTGCGGGGCGGGTTTGATGGTGGGGTTGTTGGACATGATGGAGAAGTCAATGGGGGGTGGGGTCTGGGCTGGGGGAAAGACAAGAAACTTGGTTTTGGAGAGGTTCAGTTTAAGGAGGTGGAGCGACATCCAGTCTGATATGTCGCTCACTAGGTGTGTGATTCGGGCGGAGACTGAGGTGGTGAGGTGGGGGGTTGAGAGATAGATTTGTGTGTTGTCGGCATATAGGTGGTAGTTGAAGCCATGAGAGTGTATGAGTTGGCCAAGGGAGGAGGTGTAGATGGAGAAGAGAAGGGGCCCAAGGACGGAGCCTTGAGGGACCCCAACAGAGAGGGGGAGTGAGGGGGAGGTGGTAGCATTATAGGTAACGCTGAAGGAGCGTTGTGACAGGTAGGATGAGAGCCAGGAGAGATTTTTCTGTAGAACAGCATACACAATAGATTATAAAACACTATAACAATAACATAAAACGTCAATATTTTATTATTGTTATTTTATTTTTTTAAAACTGAAATCAGTAACACGCCAAAGCTCTTTCTTGTTCTTAAGTAATATTATCATGTTTTCTGTGTACATATATATCTCAAACTATTTTATGGTAGTTAATTGATTGCATTGTTGCTATAGGATTTGTTTAGATCCCTGGTGCTCAACCGCATACGGCCCTTTGGTATATGATGTACGACCCTCAGCCTTCAGCAGCCTGTAGTGGGGACATTGATTAGGGTAATAGCACTGATCTCTCTTAGCCTCATGTGCAGGTAGTCCCTGGGTTACGAACAAGATAGGTTCTGTAGGTTTGTTCTTAAAGTGAAGCTCCGCCCAAAAGGAGAAGTTCCGCTTTAAGGCTTCGTCCCCCGCTTCCCATTAAGGGTTGGCACCTTTGGGGAGTGGAGAGGAAGGAAGCCCGAATTTGACAAGTACCCGCTCCCACTTCCGCTGCGATTGCCCACGTGATAGGAAGCTGAAGTTGTCTCTCCCTCTCCCTCCCCGCAGTCTTTTGAGACACGGGACAGGTCCCAGAAGATTATAGAACCATTCACAAAGTGCAGCACTACTCACGCATGCACAGTGGGCACACAGCTGTGAAGCCGCAAACTGTCACAGCCAGGTGCCCACATTGAAGATGCCGGTGCTTGGGACACAGGACGGCCGGCGAAATGGGCTGCGGGGAGGACATCGCAGGATAAAGGGACAGAAGAGTGTCTGTTATTTAAAAGTCAGCAGCTACAGTTTATGTTAAGTTGAATTTGCAAGAAGAATTTATTAAGTTTTTTTGGATAGCATAGGGAAGGGTTAACACCACTGTAATGTTTGTTTTGCTGTCTGTGCCCCTGTTCAGAAGATTTCGCCTCATTTTTTTATCCCTGTGACAATTAGATTTTGAAAATTTTGGGTTGTTGTGGAAACAAGGACTGGTGATAAACCTTCACTGGAGACATCTTTTTCCCATAACTCTTAGGCGTAGTTCACACTGGCATTGACAGCAGGTGTTTGAGGTGCGTTTTTTTAACTCTCCTGAAACGCCTATGCAAAATTATATTATGGGCAGCACACAGTGCTGTTCACATTATCAAAAGATTAGCATTAGTGTCGCGTCGCTTCAAAATTGAAGCCTCATGTCGAGTCAGGAGTTTGAAACCTTTCAAAGCCTCCCATTCAAGTCTATGGTGACGCTCCTCAAACGCACTGGCAGGTATTTGCCATGCGGTTGCAGAGCGTTAATAACATTACAGTTTATTTAGTTTGTGGTGTGGCTTTAATGTTTGTCAAACGCTTATAAAATGCTTCAAAACTGCACAACGGCGTTTGGGGAGTGTTTTTAACACTTATAAAAAGCCAGTCTAACGCCCATACTAAAGCTCATTAATGCCTGTCTAACCCCCATACTAAAGCTCATTAATGCCAGTCTAATGCCCATACTAAAGCTCATTAATGCCTGTCTAACGCCCATACTAAAGCTCATTAATGCCTGTCTAATGCCCATACTAAAGCTCATTAATTCCTGTCTAACCCCCATACTAAAGCTCATTAATGCCTGTCTAATGCCCATACTAAAGCTCATTAATGCCTGTTTAACCCCCTTACTAAAGCTCATTAATGTCTGTCTAACCCCCATACTAAAGCCCATCAATGTCTGTCTAACCCTCATACTAAAGCTCATCAATGCCTGTCTAACCCCCATACTAAAGCTCAATAATGTCTGTCTAACCCCCATACTAAAGCTCATTAATGCCTGTCTAACCCCCATACTAAAGCTCATTAATGCCTGTCTAACCCCTATACTAAAGCTCATTAATGCCTGTCTAACCCCCATACTAAAGCTCATTAATGCCTGTCTAACCCCCATACTAAAGCTCATTAATGCCTGTCTAATGCCCATACTAAAGAATATTCCGAAAAGAGAGGAAAGTGGTATGAGCAGAGGGATGCCTTCACAAATGGGCTGATGCTTCTGCATTGGCCAGTTAGCAGTCTGAGGTTGTGTTTAGAGATGAGCGAATCGAAGTATCCGAAGTGGAATTCGAGTCGAATATCGGAAAAATTTCGATTCGTGCCGAATCCGAAAAATAGCCTAATTCGGACGCGCGAATCGAAATTTTTCAGAAAATGGCGGCTGACATGTGCGGCGACGGAGCGGGGATGTCTGGGAAGGCGCGCAGACAAGGCGCGCTGACCCATAATGCATTCCTCAACTACATGTGATCGCATCAGCCAATCAGCAGCCAGCCAGCCAGCACTGTGTAATGGTCGAGCTATAAATAGCGGCCATTTTGGAATTCTTCATTTGCCTGCAGTTATTGAACAGAGGCAGACCGCTCTGTACTAGGGACAGGGACAGAGTTAGGGCCACAGAAACGATAATTGGGGACAGAGAAAAGTTACTTAGGGACAGAGAACCATTACTCAGGGACACAGACTTGTTAATGAGGGCCACAGAATCGTTATTTAGGGACAAAGAAACGCTAGTTAGGGCCACAGAATTCATAATCAGGGACAGACAGAATTGTTACTGAGTGCCAGAGAATTGTTACTTAGGGCCCCAGAAACTTTACTTAGGGCCACAGAATTTTTACTCAGGGACAGACAGAATTGTTACGGAGTGCCAGAGAATTGTTACTCAGGGCCACAGAAACTTTACTTAGGGCCACAGAATTTTTACTCAGGGACAGAC